AAACCGTTCAAGTTTGTCAACAATAAAACTGAAATGAGAGAAAGACTGAGTGTGAGACTTTGATATTAGATAAAATAAATATTGATAAAGTTTACCTTTATGTACAGAATCTGAATATCGCAAAATATTTTAAAAAATTGCAATAATATCGTATCGTGCGTTAAGTATTGTGACAATATCGTATCGTGGGATGTATGGTGATTCCCACCTCTAGTAATTAGAAGCGCTTTCCTAAGAGATGTGTATTTATATTGTATGTTTTGTTGTCTGGACGGTTTTCTGAAAGTTAGAGCTTTTTCACGTGGACATAATATTGACACACATAGTTGTTGCTTTCTTTTCTTAAGAAAACTTTAAGATCAAGTCGTGTTGTTTGGCATTTACTGTAGCCATGAAATGTCCTGTGTTCGCATTAGTGAAATGTCAAACTTTGAGACTGCTGTTGCAGATACTTTCACCATAATTTGGCAGTCATCTTAACATTTTAAATGTAGGGGCGGCGAGGGTAACACTGCAAGCTTTTCCAAATGCCACTGGCTTTGACAGGTTAATGTGTTGATTACGGTGGCTCTGATAGTGGCTGTTCAGTAAACATCTTATTTTTTCACCCGAGGGCCACAGTACTGACAGCCACTTTGAATTTATTTTCTGCAGAATCTCAATGTCAGCTTGGCAGGGCCAAAAAAAAATACAAAGCCAGGGGCAATATTTATGTTCAAATGGTAGATTAAATTCACATCTCATATTTGTCCTAAAGTGTTGCCTTATTGAATGGGTGAAAGCACACAACTAAACTGAAGCACAGCGCTTTGTTATGATAAAATGCTGTTTACTTTTTGAGCAAAGTTCGGCTGCAGTTGGCTGAAGATAAAGGCTTCAGCAGTTCGTATCCTATGGGTTGTGTTATTGACATTGCTTGAAAGGCACTGTTGCTAAATACAAAATGATGGTGAATTATAAAGTCTCTGTATTGTAAGCCCAGGCTTTGCTGACTGAAATGTGTCATAGTCATCTAATATTGATTCATCAATTTGATACACACTGCAGCCTCGGCTGGTATTGTTCAGAAAAGTGATGTTTTGTTTAGTTCAGCAGCCTCATTCCTGCAATGTCTTTGAAATATTTTCTTGGCTGCATGTGTCTCTCCAGTAACCAGCTCTTTTTTTTCTTTCTTTTTTTCCCACAGCTTTTAGTTTGGATACAGAGCAGCCAGACTATGACCTAGATTCAGAGGATGAGACGTTTGTGAATAAGCTGAAGAAGAAAATGGAAATCACTGCTCTGCAGTTTGAAGAAATGATAGACCGGCTGGAAAAAGGCAGTGGACAGCAGGTATATGTAACCCTGTGTGGGGAAAGTATTGCTTTGCATGCACACAAGTCTTTTTATTCACTTTACACTGAATAAAATGTACACTCTGAGTCACTTTTTGCATTACTCCATTATGTTTAACTTGTATTTTAGTCATTTGAGAGGCCTGTCATTCTCTTTGTCAGTGGTTTCTTTAAAAGTTACTATTTCTGACTTTTCTTTGACGAATCAGCACTTCACGTGACTTTGAAAAAGACAAAATATGAGTTTGTGATGTGCCTGAAGGCAGCGCGACTGCTTAAAATCTAAAGCCTTTGTTTTGTTGTGTCTTGGTCTGTTCATAGTGACTGCTTGTTTAAACCAGCTGGACTTAATTATTACACATAGCTGAGCACTTATTTCCAGAATGATGTGTCTCAGGCCATTACACTAACTTGGTCTGGCCTGTGTTGCTCTGTAGCTTGTCAGTCTACAGGAAGCCAAACTGCTGCTGAAGGAGGACGATGAACTGATCAAGGAGGTCTTTGACTACTGGAGCCGGAAGAGGAAAACCAGCAAGGGTGGCTGCCTCATCCCCAGCGTCAAGCAGGAGAAGAGGGATGGCTCTAGCACCAGCGACCCTTATGTGGCCTTTCGCCGACGGACAGAGAAGATGCAAACTAGGAAGGTAGGACTTTCTAGTCAAAAAATGAGTAAGATAAAGGCAAATAAAAGGACATAAATTATGCTGACCTACATTTTATGTGCATATTTGAGTTGTAGAAGTCTACTGGGGCTTCACCAATCCAACTTTTGAAGATAAAAACCTAGAACCCTTGTATTATCTTTTTACCAACGTAATTATATAAGCAGTTCCCATGGGGTTTTGGCATGGTCCAAACATATTGGCTTTAAAGTGGTTCAGATGAGGCAGATAAATATTTTGTCCCTACAGTAGTGTTCCCCTAAGATGAAAGATGAGCAGTTGAATATTTCCATACCTTAACCTTTTTAAAGATTTTTGAGTTAAAATGGAAAATAATTTAAGGTGACATCCACCAGACACCTCACGGAATGAGATTATCACAATATTTAACTCACAATATGACATTATTTTGGTGTTTAAAAAATATTTTTTTTAGATTGTGTGATTTGCTGACTATTGCAGTAACATTGTGATTAATCACCTTTTGTCTATTGCAGCTACGCTTCTGTATTGATGCAGTATTCACAAGCAAAATGTTGGAATTTAGATTTCTGACACTGAATCATCACTGCTCCGTTTTCAGAATCGAAAGAATGATGAGGCCTCATATGAGAAGATGCTGAAGCTGCGCAGGGACCTGAGTCGAGCTGTCACCATCTTAGAGATGATCAAAAGAAGAGAGAAGAGCAAGAGGGAACTGTTGCACCTCACACTGGAAATTGTGGAAAAGAGGTAAGAAAGTCGACTAAACTGCACCTTGTCAGACAAGTAGTTGCTATAAGGGAGACCTTTTCACTTGTACTCTCAAACCGCATGCCCCACTTATCTGATTGGATGAGATTTTCAAAAGCAGGTCATTCAGGGTAATGGCTAACGGCTGTGCCCTTGTCCTGTTTTGGGAATGCTTTCTGATAACATCTTAAGAAGCTGAGATGATAACAGTGTGGTGTTTTGGACAGTTTATGTGGTGAACCTCCATATTTGATTACCCTGTTGTTTACTTGCCAAGTCTGAAATTCAGCACAATGCTTGTTTGCATGACCGATCATACAAAAGTCAACCACATATTTTCTGTAAGGCTAGGCTTCACTGCTCCTGTTAATTGGGGTCACAGTTAAATGCACTTTTCCATGCAAAGTTCACCTTGTTTATTCAGTAGTGTTTGGACCACATTAGCTCAGTGATGTCTGGGTCCTGGTCAAGGCTTTGCTTTCCCCAGTCTTTTAAGCGGTATAGTGGACTGTATCTCTGTATTATAAAATATAAACTTTGTGTTTTCCAAACTCCATTTTGGATTGTCCTCCCTCCACCCCCCCAGTGGAGCCTTTGCAATCCATCTAAACATGACATCCGAATGGAATGAATTTACTCTGAAAGTAGCTGTCAGCGTGAGCTTAAATTGGACCCTTCTCCTTGAAGTGCTTTTCATTTGTAGTGACATTTCAATTTCCTCTTGTTATCCCGGCCTGGTTTCTGCCTGCGCATCACAGCTAGTGCTCACTCGCAGACTGGACCACTCTGTTCCCAGTAGGTAGTTTTTCCCGGTCACTTTATGATGCTATGCTGCTGTAGAGGGGCTCAGGTGTAATGTCTGGTGGGTGCAGTCTGTCATTTGTGTGTCTCAAGCCCTTACTGTGCATCAAAGTTTAGGTTCTTTTGTGTTTAAACTGTGGTTGCATGATGTTAGCAGTTATACATTATTCATGGAAATGTTAGTGATAAAGTGAAGTAGTTTACACAAATTTCCTTAATATAGCTTAATATAGTCAGCTAAAACTATGTGGGAGATGCATCTGTTAGAGCCTGAGCGGTCTTCATGACAGTATGTCATCTACAAAATTTAAGACTGAAGCGAATAAAAACAACTTGAACCTAAGTGTGTAATATTTCGTAATATTCTGTCTAATGTTATTGTTAAACTGACAATGTTGCCTGAAGTAAATATTAGGGATGCACTGATCCAACTATTCATTTCTGATCCGATACCAGTCTTAAGTAAACAAACTCTGCTCCTCACTGTGAAACTCGGAAGCATTCTATATTTCTAAGGCATCCAACCCGCCATTGCTTTGCTGTTAACGTCCTCTATAACAAATATGCAGCAAAAAAAGAGAAGTCATCGCAAGTAAAAACCGGGCACTCTGTCCATCTTCACAGATCTGGAGTTGAGTGCACTGTTACTTTGTATCCTGTACACTTCCAGCTTCTTTATTGATGCATTCCGGCAGCTCATACACTGCTGCTGATTTATTGTGTAGTAAACTGGATCAGCTATAGATG